AGTTTCTTCTTCGTCGCTGCTGTTTTTTCGTTAGTTAACTTCGGTTTATCATTTGAAAATAATTTACCACCGCAGGAAGTACGCGGACAATCGTGTTGCAGTCCGTTTCGGTGATAGCAGTCGCAGTCTGTGTAAACTACCCCCGAGCACAGTTCTCGAGATCTCACTTTTCTCAACCGAATCTCTTTCTTTCGTTTTCCCAACGATTTCCTCGACTTCGAATCCCCGTTTTTTGACCTCGGACTCGGTGGTTCGGACTTGCGAGCATTCGTCGTCTAGAAAACGTCTCGCGATCAATCCTTCGTTACGTTGAACTTCATCGCTGTGACGATCTCGTTCGAGTAATGTGCGAGTAGGTTCGATCAACTACGAATTTCATGGCAGTAAATTCAGAGGATGAATTCAGCTTGGAATGCAGAGAACGAGATCAAAGTTTCATTGATATTCAACGCTGAGTATATCCCTGAAGTTCTAGATCCTAACCTAAATACCAGAACGCTTCATGTCTCATTGCAAACAGATTTATTGAACGACTATTAAACGCGACTACAATTTTTCCAACAATTCCATCGACATCAAGCATCAGGTACTCAGTACTCGAGTCAACGTGCCTGAAGATTCTTCCTCGAGCGTGCCTCTCGGGATATATATTCCCTTGCGTTCGTTCAAGGCCGAAACGAAACAAGACCAACTCGTGTTCGCGGTTTCGTTGGTCTGCGGTTAACGCGTGCACCGATCCTCCCGCGACGTTACGTTACTCGCGACACTGCGTCTCTTTCCTCTTCAATTCGAGCACAATGCGCGGAACGGGCAAACGGCACTGATCCTGAAGACCGTTCCTCTTCGAGCGACACGCCTCGTAACGATTCAACGTGTTGGCCGGCATGTACTCTCTGTATCGAGTCAGCAACTCCTCCGACGTGATTCGCGGAACGTCCTCGCTCGACCTCGTGCAATCCTTCGCGTCAACGTCGTCCACGCGTCGTCTACAAGTTTCGGCAAGCTTCGTTTTATCCGTAAGCTTTCGCTTCTCGACGTCGTCGCACGATTTTGGTTTCTCCGCTGGCTTGGACTCGCAAGGGGGACTCGCTGACCGACATTTTGGATCAACGTTGGCTGCCGAGCACGACTTGGGCTTTGGCACTGGTTGACAGCAATAAGCGGGACAGACGCGTCCTCTCGTGCCCTCGCCGGGGCTTTTCGAAGTTCTCGAGCTCTCGTCAAGACCGTTTCTACGTTTCACCGGCGGCGGCGGCGGCGGCGGCAACTCACCGCGTTTCTGCTCCCTTTTCTCGGCAGGCTTCTCTTTCGAATCCTTCTCTCGGCTCGGACAAGTCACCTGATCGAGACCTGATCTCGCCTGGAAATAGTCCAGGTCCCTCCTGGTAACAGGGTCGATAACTGGCTGATGCGTTATCTTGGCCGACGGTCCTCCCTCGCAGGCTTTCGACTCCGTGTAACCGTAGTAATCGTCGTCTTCAGCGAAACTGATCATCCGTGTTTCCGGCCCGTGCTCGTCGATCTTCGCCTCGACGACGCTGTGCTGGCACGGTCTCGACCTCTCCGGTGGACAGACGAAGCCCACCGCCGTGGGGCAGTCGCTGTTCCGTGGCGCTCGCGTCTCGAAACACTTCTTCGCTCCGACGTTTTTGTCGTTACGCGAGCACCTGGTGATCCGGGCCGTGGCTTGCTTCTTGGACGCGGCGCAGCCGAAGAACGACACCTTCGGGTCCTCGCGATCTTTCTTCGCGCTACGGACGGCCTCCTCCGTCTTGTCGATCGTTGGACCGTACATGATCTTCGAGCAGGGTTGCTCCGGCTGTTCGTCCCCTTTCTTGATGTGCAACGTCGTCACCGTGTCCGAGGAATTCTCCGTGGAGACCAACACGGCTCTGGCTATTGGCCCCTCTGAACATTCGCGGGATTCCAGGCAATAGGTCATCGGATGCTTCGAAGACGAGTCGGAGCACGGTTGGTCGGACTTGGTCGAATCGTCTTGGGGGTAAGACACGATCCTGAGAAAGAAAGCAGTTCGTTTCGAGTTAGAGAAGGATCAAATTGCTCTTGAAACTCTCGCTACGGTAATAGCCTGCATGTGTGCATCATTCGTCGATAAGTCGGTCGTAATATAAGTGCGATGGAATATTTTGAATGAATACATCTCAGTGAATAGCAATTTCATAATCTCGAATGAATATTTCTCATAATCTGAAATGAAAACACTTCTTTGAATTTCGATGTATCACTGATCAATCTTTCAGTCTTTGTTTATTAGGACCTTTGCGATATTGTGTTGCAGCTCGAATAGAATTAAAAAAGGTGCTTTTGATGAGATCATGCGATATTGATACAATTGTATTTGTTTTATAATTTATAAAACTTATTGTTCCTATTAAATTCTGAATTTGAAGCAAGTAATAATATTATAATATTTATCATAATTTATTATAGTAAATAACTTTGTAAATTATAGCCCTTTACTACAAATAATTTTAATTTCGACTTACAGTAATTTAATTTAATCTGACTTACGATGTTGTTTCCTATTTTATATTTCAACTCAAATCATGTAAGATTTTAAGGTAAAAAGACTTAACTATGAAACTTGTACAGAGTGGAAAGAAAAAAATGGCCGTCATAGATGAATTCTACACCTTCTATTTGATGGAAATACACTGCAAAATTGATCTTGATTTTCTTGGTATTCTACTCATCACGAAGGTAAAACTTTTCCAAGGAACCATAGGTTGGAATCTAATATTTCTCTTAAAAAGTAGCAAAGAAGCTTCTTAATCATTTAACACTGCGGTCGCGTGAGTTCTAACAGCGACTTTATGATTTTGGACGCGTGGATATGTCTGTTTTACGTAATTTTCGTATTAGGTTTCACTAACATTTCATTTATCATAGTTGTATAATAATCAAGTGATAAAACTAACCGTTAACATTGTTCGAAATATAAACATTATGTAAAATAGACATCCACTCGTCGGGAATCATAAAGTCGCTGTTAGCACGGACGCGTTTGTAGTGTTAAATGATTAAGAAACTTTTCGCCATTTTTCAAGAGAACTATTTGGACTCACATTGATGTTATGATAAATCAAATGTTAGTGAAACTTAATAAGAAAATTACGTGCAATAGAATAATAAAGTCGTTGTTAACACGCGTCCGCAATATTAAATGATTAAGAAACTTTTCTCCATTTTTCAAGAGAACTATTTAGACTCACACTGATACTAGGATAAATCAAATGTTAGTGAAACTTAATAAGAAAATTACGTGAAATAGAACAATAAAGTCGCTGTTAACACGCGTTCGCAATATTAAATGATTAAGAACCATTTTTCAAGAGAACTATTCAGACTCACGTTGATGCTACAGTTATGATAAATCAAATGCTAGTAACACCTACTATAGAACCATAAAGTCGCTGTTAGAACGCAACATTAGACGATCAAGAAACTTTTTTGCTATTTTTCAAGAGAACTATTAGGTTGCGACTTATAGTTACTTCGCGTTGGGTAGAATACAATGCAAAAAAAATCTTGATCTCGAAATTCAAGGTCAAGATCAATTTTGCGGCAGGTTTTTTACATGTTTTCTCTATCAAATCGAAGGTAGAATTTATCTGTTTGATAGCCATGGACAAATACATTTTCTTTACATTTAGAATTCATGTAAATTTGACATGGAGATCAACGACAGTAGCGTCTAATGAGCTTTCTCTGGAAATTTGATCAACCTTACCTGGCCGACGGTCCAAATTTCGAGGCTTTCGTCTCGACGAGGAGGCAGGTCTTCTGGGTGGTTGTAGACCGCTCGTCAGGTATCTGGACAACATGTGCCACAGGTTGATCACCTTCGAAGCGACACTCCAGCAACGTGGATCCTGGTGGATAGTGCGGACAGCAGGTGGGCAGCGTGGTCGCTGGATCTTCAAGGTTGCCGTGGCGCTGCTAAAGGAATCGAATTACATACAGCTCGTATCGTCCTTCTCGTTTCTCGCTTGCTCCACGCTTGTTCATTCTCTCGCGAGAGTGAATCGTCCTCCGGATCTGAGCGCGAGCCGAGCGAAGAAGCTTTCTGAATAGCTCGCGCCGGCCTATTTCCGTCTGATCGATCTCGACGGAAGAATACTTTGCGCACGATCCTTTCTCTTTAAAAATCTCTCATTTGTTACAATTTCGAACGATCTTATGGCAAATGGCGGTAGATGACGAAGGATATACAGGAAATACTCAGCGTTGAATATTCACAGTTCGGCACTTGACTTCGGGATTCTTATTATTATTATTATTATTACGTGAACGAGATTGTCTTTAGTTTTGGTTTAACTGGGATGGTTTCTTACCTTTTGTGCAGCGGGGTTCAGTTGCGTTTCGATTTCAGTGCACAAGCCAATCGACCGAGACTCGTCGGTGTTCTTTCTGAAGAAGAACATTTGCATTCGTATTCAGTAAACATCGAGCACGATTTCGTTCGAAAAACATTTGCTTTAGAAAACAACTCGCCCGTAACATACAAAAGAAAATAATCAAGTATACATCGAAAAACATGTTTCCGATAACGAAGAAATATACATGTATGTATATTAGTTGAAGTTGAATGGTTAATTTATTAAAATCGTAACAAAGTACGAATGAAATAAAAAATACGAGTGAATTCAAGAATTAATTAATTTTATATATATATATAAATTTATATATAAATTTTTATTATTATTTTATTATTATTTATTTAATAATATATAAATAAATATATATATAAATTTTTTAAGGATGAGTCTGTTTTATCAATTTTTACGATTTAATTTTAATTAAAAAATTGGATTGTACATATATATATATATAT